TAGTGAGGTAAAGCCTAGTGGTGAACTCTATGTCCCAAGACCCCTCTCTCATTCTCTACACCTCATTTACTTTAGTTTATTTTATATTGCATTGTTTTTAATTAATCGTAGCATAACTCAACCAACAAACCACTCACTTTGATCATTCGACCTACTAATCCAATTTTGATTCCGTAGTACCTTACAAATCCCTTGGGACGATCCATTTTCACTCATACTACATAGTATAGTGTTAAGTGGTTTTTATAAATTTTAAATGTGGTGGCCACTTCACACATCCACACTTTTCACATCATTTTGAGCACAAGGTCACGCCTACACCACCTGGCCAACCATTTCTCTGAGTTAGTCTTCCTTGACATGATATCGGGTCCAAGGCCAATGATTTTTCTATGCGAACGGTAATGACTAAGGTAAGCTACGGTGTATTACATGATGGGAATGTGATGTTTTATCTAGAAGTGAGTTCCATGTACAATGGACATCGTGGATTGTGCACGTGAGAGTACTAGTAGTTCTTCCTTTCAATTTTTGGTTGGTATATTGAGTTGCTCGGTCTTAGAACTAGTAATTGATAGTGCAACTAGAGAATAGCAATCGAAAACGATGAATGACGGGAATGGTATTGTGAGTACCCTTGGAGTCACGAGTCGAGCCTGCGAGTAGGTTTTATCGAGCGACTTTGTAACCACTTCCTTTGTTATCATTTAGGGTGTTTGGCGTGGAGTGTGTAGACTGTTGTGTGTTGGATCTACTTGGTAGAAGTCCGATACTTTTCTGGTGAGTTGTCTTTTGATGACGACGTTGATGTAAGCGTGAGCAGCACAGTGCCTTTCTTCTTAAGGAAGGTAGATTTCGAGGATGAAATCTTTTTAAGGAGGGTAGGTTATGATGTTTCGCTATTTTTCATTTTTTTCCGGCCATTTTTTTATTTTTCATATTATTTTATTTTCATGCCTCGTTTTGCATGTCATGCACCGGTTAGCATGCCACAGAGATTTCGAGAGTGATTTGAATATTTCTTTGAGTTTAGAACTCTAAGAAATACATTTTGGGTCATTTTAGCATTTTTCAGATTTTTGGTCTGGGAGGTCCCGAGTGGACCCCATGCCCGGATTTTTGTGTCCCAAAATTATTTTCTAAATTTATTTAAATTTTTTATACCTATTTTGGTATTTTTGCATGGTGATGGCATAGTGGTGGTTTAGTGTTCTAAGAGGGGCATTTTAGTCATTTTGATGGTCAACTATTTGACTACCCATGTGAAGATCAATTTAGCAGCTTCACATTCTGCAGAATTCCACCAAGTTTCGGCACATTCTCCATTCTTCCTTCTTCTTCTTTCTTCTTCCTTCTTTCTCTTTCTTTCTTCTTCTAAATTCCTTGTTTTGGTGCTTAATTTTGACCACTTTCTATCAGGAATTTGGCCATGCTTGGGAAGGGAAAAATCATCCTTAGGATGAAGGCTTTCCATTGATACCAAAAACAGCCCCATTTTTCCCTTTCGAATTTCGAAATTCCTCCTTGAAGGGGGAATATTGACGGTGTTTCAAGAGGGGATTTCCTTCCTCTTACCTTCCTTGTTTCCTTGGTGTTTCTAAGCATTGCAATTGGTGATCTTTAGTCCTTATTGGAAGGCTGTTTTGTGACCATTTGAGCTTCAAATAGGTAGGGGTTTTCTAAAGCCCACAACCTTTGTTTTTGGTGATTCACCCCTTTGAATTTGAATTACAATATGACTAGAATTGAGCCTCTCTTACAATTATGTTTTATGTGATTAAAAAATAAAATTTGAGCTTCTCTAATGATGGTGTTTTATGTGCTTAAAAACTGGAATTTACATGCTTAATTGTATCATATATCCAAGTGTATGAATGTGTGAATCAATGCATGCTTTCCACTAAAGTTCACAACCTTTGTTCTTTGTGAGTTTCCTTCTTAAATTTATACTATAACATGTCTAGACTTGATTTATTTTAGTGGTTATGAAAGTATGAATACAATAATGTGTTGGTTGTGTTCTATGTGGCTATTTTGCTATCTTATGGCATGATTGGATGATTGTATGTAGCATGAATGTTTTGGAAATGTACATGTCTTCTATGTCGAAGATGTTTTGGTTATGATATTCATCATATACATTTGTGATTGTGTTTACTACATGAAAACTAATACGGTAAATTTCTTCTAAAGCATGGTTCATAGAAGTAAGTTTTGATGTAGAAATTCTATAGTAATATGACATAGAGAAGCATGTTTCATTCTTGCATTTACATTGGGTTGATAAATGGGGAAAACTGGATTTTTAAAGAAAGAGTTGATTTGGGGAAATGTTTTGAAAATGATGATTAACGGTTTAATAGTTGAGGTGTTGGAAGGATTTTGAAAACAATTGGGGAGAGACATTGGCATTGCATTTTATTGTATTTACAGGACTTATAATATGTGATGATTATGTACCCAATCTAAGCATGAATCCCGTTTCATTGCTATTCTTTGTTTGAATTCACGAGACCATTAAGGAGAGTACGTTTTAGGCGTCTCCTATTAAGCCGTTGTGCTCATCCCTTTATTATTACCAATTTTTCAAGTCATGGAAAAGAAATGGTGGAGGACATTCCTCCACAAGCATAGACGGGGATAGAGAGCACCTTCTTTTGTCATCTTTTGTTGCATATATGTTTCTTTTGTAAAGCTTCAAGCTTGACTTGTGTATTTTGAAATCCAATGTAGCCCGGACTTATTTTGTGTAATGTATAGCATAAATGATAAATGAATGGATTCAAGTTCCTTTTGTAGTTGATTCCACATAGTAGATTGTTTTGTAAAACTCAATATTTTCTCCAAGGGACTGTAATATTCCGATTCTTACGAAAATTTTACCACAGATTTCGTTATGAATCTAGTATTTCTCTGTAAAATTTCGTGATTTTTAGTCCAGTAGATATTTTTAAACAAATCTGACAGCTCTAGCAGTTCGTTGTTTGTCGCTGTTGGAAAAATAAATCTGACAACGCTAGCAGTTCGTTGTTTGTCGCTGTTGGAAAAATAAATTTTTAATGAATTATTTGACCAACTTCTTGACATTGAAAAATTATCAAGGCCTGCTTGGATTGAAGTCCAAAGAATAGTTTTGAAAAACAGTTTTTAGAGAATGAAAACTAAAAACAGTTTTCAGATTTCTGAGTTTGAAATTCTACTTGGTTAGAAAAACTCCAAAACAGTTTTCAGAAACCAAAAACTAAAAAAACTGTTTAATTGTCTAAAAATCCTGCTTGGATTGAAGTTCAAAGGATCCGTTCCAAATTCACATTATTGGAAAAGTGTGGACATCTCAAATTTACATTATTGGAAAAGCAAGTAGTGACCAGATTGCTCCATCCCATAGATAAATTGAACATTGATCTCTACTGTCAATTCATTAGCTCTGTTATCACAACCATTTTTTTTTTCCATAGATAAATTGAAGAACAAAGGAATCACAAACTCCAAACAATCAATAATGTCCTCCTACTAGACCTACAATGGGCAAAGCCACTTACGATTCACAATTTGAGCCAGATTGAGCATTCATTTATACCTAAACCCAATTGATATTCCAACTCCATTTCTATTTGAACCCAAGTGGAATTCGAGCTTTGAAGAATCAATAATGTCTTTTTGGAGCTTGATGATCAAGTAAATTGGAAGAGAAAAAGGTAGGTGTAGCAATCGTTGTTCTGCAATATAACAATTTTAATTGCAAACTTGCCCTAAATTGCAATCGGACAATTTCTAAAATTTCCTAAATTACTCTCACAATTCCTGCAATTTTACTTCTAATTCATCACATCAGTACTTCGAATTCATACCAATGACTCTGACATCGCAACCTCTGACATCGGCTCCCAACTTCAGAAGGAATTGAAAAAAGAAAGGACTTGCGAAGTTCAACCCGTATCCGACCACCCTCGTCTACTGCATCACATCTACCTTGAGTCAATCGTTCTACCCGATTTGCATAAAAGAGAAGAATCCGGCCACAACCAATGAAAAACCCATGAATTTGAAGAAGCCACAATCCTTAAACCCAAATCAGGAGAACTAGATGATCTAAAGATTGGGCTCCATTCCCTGAAGGCGAATCCGAAGCCTGAGAGAAAAACTCACCAACATGGGACGAAAGACGGCAAAGCGCTAGAGTTTTACAGTAGAGAGAGAGAAAGAATGAAGAAGGTATGGTTTAGCTTTAGAGAGAGAACGTACAGTTTGGGCTTAGAGAGAGAAGCTTTTAAACGGCAACCCCTCAGCTTCTTTTTTTTTAAGCTACCATCCCATCTCCGTGTTTTCATTCTTTCTGAAAACTCCCAAAACAACTTTGAGTTGTTTTCAAAAAAACCCATACTCCCTTAACTCAGTTTTCTAAAAACTCTTTTTCAAAAACAGGCACCCAGCAGTGCAAAAATGGGTTTTCTGAATTTTTGACACCCTAAAAACAGAAAACTGTTTTGAGAGTGTCAATCCAAGCAGAGCCCAAATTTTCTAGGTTTATACTTCCATTAGTCTATGTTCTAAAAACAAAAGCCTTGGAAATTTCTCAATTCTTTACATTTTTCAAATGACGAAGTATTTCGACCTGTTTATTTTTATACTCATTCTACATAAGCTGTTTTTAATTTAAAAACTGATTTCATCGGTCGTTCCATACCCCTTGTTCCAATTTCATTTCCAAACGTTGACATGGATCTCAATACCTAATTTTCACAACTCTTGCTGCGCGACGACAATAATGGTAAATACACACACTAGATCAAATGTGGTTTTGATAATGCCTGAAACAATGCACTCAAGACAATAATGGACACAGCTTACCTTCTTATAAACCACGTATGAAAGAGACTAACACCCCCTCCTGGCACCTTGAAAAATCTACACTATTAAATCGATGAAGGTCATAAATAAATTCAATTAGGAATAACTAAATAAATTACGGGCTAAAACACTCGGCTTTAAAAGCAGAATAATGAAACCTGACTTTACATATCTTTTAATTTGTAGTTTTGTTTACTTAGTTAAATGTACAACGCAAAAGAGATACAAGTCTGGAAGTCTATATTACAATAATGCATATTAAGCCAAAACAAAAAAACAGAAGCGGGAGCTTGAAGCCAACAGAGTCCTAGGGAAAGGAAGCTGTTGAGTCCCAGCACCCAAGATAGACAGCACCAATCTATTTGTATACAATATGGGCACATTGGTTTATCGAACCTATATATGAGAACGAACTTTACAAAACTAATCAACCCAAAGCCATCCTGAGAATTCCTGAACGAGAAATAAACCAGTCTATTAATCAGATTTAAACCATTTCATCCAACGCCAAAAAACTTGCTCAATACTAGCTTTGGAAGCTGAGTTTTGGGCAAAAGAACTTCAACTCCAGTAAGCTTCATCAGTGTTTACAAAAAGCTGGCTCACCATCACAGAAAAAACCAATAAATTCTTCTACCATGCCCAACTGCAACAACCGAGTAAATTCAGACCTTGAAACAGCAATCAAAGAGAAACAAATACCAATACGACAAAATGCTAGCTGAAAACACATAATTAACATCAGCAACCTTTAAATTAAGGAAGAAAAAGGTATCATAATTCTTTATAGCCAAATGGCCCTTTAAAGCATCTTTTGATACTTAAAATTAAATCTTCAGCGAGTGCAATGCACAGGATCACTTTGAACACTCTGCGTGCTTGAACTTCTATTCTTCAAAAGTAGTGAAGGGCAAAGAACTTCCCATGATATACCTCCAAATTTAAAATCTAGATAATGAAGGTAAATGATTTCCTACTACTACAAAAATAAGAAAGAGAATCCATAAACAAGTCTTTTATCATTAATCATATTTTAATCATCCTTAATGAATATTCATTGGAAACTGATTAGAAATAATAATTAATCATATTTTTTATCATCCTTAAAAACTTCGTACCATTAATACGATGAGTACATGAAGATTAAAGTTTAGCAAAAAAAAAAAAAAAAAATATTTATAACCACTAAACAACACAGCTAATGAAACAGTAGTTTAGCATATAAAGGAACACTAATAGCATGGATCTAAGAATGAAACTTGAGCCAGTCAACTAAAGCCCAACCTTTATTTTTTTTCACATACTTAGAACACAGTTTTTTAAAACTCGAATCGACCTAGGACAGAAAAATTCCAACCTGAATTTAATTCAGGTTCAAGTTGTGGTGTTGGCAATCAGAATCCAATTGAAATTAACCTAAGTTGAATCCAAATTTTAATCTAACATTATACATAACTATATGGTGTTTTTCCCTTGCTACTAGCTAATCATTTGAAAGTTGTGCAAGCCTGTAATTGGATGTGTAAACATATCATTTTACAGAACTAGACGAGGGCAAATAGATCTAGCTTCTTTTGCTTATTTACAGGATCAGTACAATTTTAATGAATTAAAATGCAGTCAAACGAGCAGAAATGAAAGAGAGTAGAGAGTTGACACCAGATCCAATGCCTACAGATCTACTCTCCGCGAGAAAAAAACGTGAAGGCTAGTCGTCTCAAGCAATCTAATCTTACTATAAGAAGTGAAACAATGCAACCAGATCCAATGCTTACGGAACTACTCTCCACGAGTCGCCAATTCAAATACCTTTGAATCACCTGGCATTAATTTAACTCAACGCTCGGTGTCCTCTAATCTAGTGCCATCAGTATCACCAGCAAGGCAGCAACACAAATCCATGTTGTTGAAAGCTTAAAGCTAAATCATAAGAGAAAAGAGAGGAGAATTAACTGTATCTCTTATTTCATATCACAAAAAGATGATTACAATAGGTAGAAAAAGAAGAAATTTTGGGTTTTGGCTTTCTCAAACCGAGAGCCAAGAGCTATATTTATATATATGAATAAGGTACAAAGAAAGGAAACCAAATCAAAGAAAAACAGGAAATATGCCAAAATCTACGTGATCCCATAATTACGGGGATCTTATCTATTTGATCCCATGATTACGGGGATCTTATCTAAAACACCTAATAAAAGGCTGAAAACAACTAATAAAAATAATAATAATAATAATACAAATATTTCAACACTCCCCCTCAAGTTGGAGTAAAGATATTAATCAAGCCCAGCTTAGTAATCGAGCAATGAAGCAAAGATGGACCAACGGATTTGGTGAACACATCTACCAACTGATTAGAGGACCTAACAAAGCACGGCTTGATAAATCCCGAACAAACCTTCTCTGTGATAAAATGAATGTCCACCTCTATATGTTTAGTCCTCTCATGAAGAACAGAATCTGAAGCAAGCATGATGGCTAACTTCTTATCACAAAACAAGTCTGAGGACTGTTTTTCACTTGGCCCTAGTTCCTCCAAGAAAGATTGAAGCCAGAGAATCTCACAAGTACCATGAGCCATGGCACGATACTAAGCCTCTGCTGAAGGTCTCGAAATTACAGGTTGCTTCTTACTTTTTCAGGATATAAGATGATCTCCATAGAAATTATAGAAGCCAGATGTGGAACGTCTATCAGTCTTGGACCCAGCATAGTCTGCATCACTAAAACAGGATAGCCCAACCTACCTGCTAGACGAATAGAATAATCCAAGTCCAGGACAAGACTTAAGATATCGAATAATATGATATACCGCATCCATATGAGTTGTGCAACGAGCATACATAAACTGACTCACGACACTAAGAGCAAAAGCCAAATCAGGACAGGTGTTGGTAAGATAAATCAATCTTCCTACCAAGGGCTTATACTGCGAGGGATCAAAAAGGAGATCTCCATACTCAACCGAGATCTTCATATTAGGATCCATAGGAGTGGAAGCAGGTTTACACCCAAGCATACCCGTGTCTCGAAGAAGATCCAAAACATATTTCCTTTACGATAAAGAAATACTATGCTTAGATCTAGCAACCTCAATTCCCAAGAAATATCTAAGCTGCCCAAGGTCTTTCACATCAAAAGCTTTATCCAATTGAAGCTTTACTTGAGCAATCCCATGGATGTATTTACCAATAATGATGATATCATCAACATAGACAAGAAAAATGATACATCGACCAATGGAGGAGAGGTGAATAAAACATGTATGTTCAGAATGGCATCTAACAAACTCCATGGATAGAATTACATCACTAAAGCGGCTAAACCAAGCTCTAGGAAATTGTTTCAACCCATACAAAGACTTCCGCAATCGACAGACCTTTCCAGCATACTCCCCCTCAGCCCGAAAACTGAATGGAGGATCCATATAAATAGTCTCAAGAAGATCACCGTTCAGGAAAGCATTCTTCACATCAAGCTGATGAAGAGGCCAATTGTGAGAGGCAGCCAAGGAAACAAGCAAACGAGATGTCAATTTAGCCACTGGAGCGAAGGTATTATTAAAGTCTTTACCAAGAATCAAAGTAAACCCTTTGGCCACCAAACGGGCCTTATACCGATCAATAGAGCCATCGGCCAGATATTTAACACTAAATACCCATTTGCAACCAACAGTCAGTTCACTAGGAGGGAGAGATACAAGCTCCCATGTTTCATTTGCTGCAAAACATTCATTTCTACCATCATAACAGACTTCCAATTGGGATTCCGAAGAGCCTCATAGACATTTCTGGGAATGGAAATGGAATCAAGTTTGCCTAGAAAGGCTCGGTAAGACCTTGAAAGACCATCATAACAAGGTTGTTTAAATCAAAGATTCTACGTAGAATCGTTTTGGGCTCCGTAAAATCAGATCGAAAATCGTAAGATTCTACCAACTAGTGAAAAAAATAATTCAAACTAACTTCTTAAACAATATAATGTGTAAAATATAGCTAAAAATAAATAAATAAATAAATAATTATATAAAGGTACATTCCAAAGTTCAAATATAATATAAAAGCGAATGTAGCTCAAAAGGTAGAGCTCTCATGACAACTATGCAATTTGCAAGTTGTGAAGTGTGTGAGAAGATGAAGGTTTGAATCCTAATTCATAACATAAGTTCACAAATCCCAAATCCTAATCCAAATGTCCAACAACTCCCTTAAAAGAAGAGAACACAAATAAAATAGAAAAGGAACTAAACATAGTTACAAAACATAATGTAAAGAAGTAAAGAACATAACAGAATTAAAGGGTCCATTCTTCATGATTAAAAAAAATAAAAAATTGATCAGAAACACGGAAAAAATAAATAAATAAAGAATGGGGGATTAGGGCTAAATAGTGTTTTTTTCTTATTTATATGTACTTTTTTTGGGCCCTAAAACTGTGGACCTTTCTTATTTAGATAACCCAACACTTAAGAAAGTGAACCAGGCCCCAAAAAAAAAAGCCCAAACAAAAAATATCTCAGAATCTTCTATTTGCGATTCTACTACGATTCTACATGATTCTACTACGATTCTGCACAGGGAGTGATTTCTATACGAGTTGACTTGTTTTGGGTTGGTAGGATCTTAGAATCGTGCGATTCTATGATCCAGGATCGCGATTTTGACAACCTTGCATCATAAGAGATGTGCTGCAAAATAGGATGATTAGTACTACAAGCGAATCCAAATTGGGCAGGGGTTTGTGGTCCCGAGTGAGATATCGAGACTCGAGAATAGGGCCGGGGAAATATAAAGGGGAGAGAGGAGATATACCTGAACCTGTATCTGAAGAGGATGAAGGCAGTGGAGGCGGAGCACGAGGCAAAAATAGACCTTCAAAGGGGGTAAGGAAACCGCAAGAGAAGACTCTTCTTGAAAAATAGGAAGAAGACGAGCAAAAGGATAATCCTCTTGATCGGGAATAGAAGTTTCCTGCAAGATAGTGTTAGAACCATAAAAGGGGGTATACTCATGAAAGGTGACATCAAGAGAGTGAAACATGTGTTTGTGTACAGGATCATAAAGCTGGTAACGTTTTGACATTGAAGAGTTTCCTAAAACGATACATTTAATGGCCTTGTCATCAAGTATAGTACAAGAAGGGCTACGATTCTGAACAAAACATGTACATCCAAACACCCGAGGCATGATGGAAAAAAGAGTAATATCAGGCTGAAGCACTTGTAAGGGGACCTTACCATTTAATACCCTACTAGGGGTACGATTAATGAGAAAAGTAGCTGTAAGAACTACCATATGCCTACACATTCATACCACTTAAAAGACATCGAACAACTGACATTAGTTAATGGTTTTTACGCTCTGCCACACCATTCTGTTCAAGGGTATATGGACAAGTAAGTTGATGAAGAATATCCTGTTGGTTAAGTTAAGACTGAAACTCATTGGAAACATATTCACAACCATTGTTAGACCTAATATTCCTAACAAAAGTTTTATATTAAGTTTTGATCATTTGGAGGAATTAAGTGAACAAGGGAAAAACTTCATATTTCTTTTTAAGTAAATATACCCATGTGCAGCGGGAATAATCATCAATGAATGTTACATAATAACGATGCCCCAAAAAAGCAATAACGGGAGAAGGACCCCACACATCAGAATATACGAGATCAAACATACTAGGTGCACGATGCATATGAGAAATATAACTGGTTCTAGTATGTTTAGAAAGTTCACAAATCTCACATTGAAACTTATTATCCTTACAAGCCGTTATTAATGAAGGGAAAAGCAGACATAAATACTGAAAGTGTACATGCCTAAGGCGAGCATGCCATAGATTTAAAGTCTGAAAAGAAAAATCATAAGATCTAGAAATTGGAAGAACAAAGGCTTGAAGCAAGTGGAGGAGGTGTCGGTGGAGGATCCCTAAAGTAGTAGAGGCCATCGTGCTCAAATCCCCTGCCAAAAATCATTTTTGAACACAGGTCTTGTAAAACACAGTAATGAGGAAAGAAAATCATTGCACAGTTTAGTGATTGGCAAGTTTGCTAACAGATAGAAGATTAAATGCAAAGTTAGGAACATGAAGAACAGATGGCAAAATAATATCAGGGATAGATAAACATCTCCACTACTATGAATAATGATGGTTGACTCATCGACTAGACTAACAGCCTGATTAACAGGGGTAACGGGAGTAGAAAATAATGACAACTCACTAGTCATGTGATCATTGGCTCCGAAATCCAAAACCCAAGTAGGTTTTCCTGCTTTAACATGAAAAGTAGGAGTACCTGTAGCTATAGCAGCCGAGGGAATAGAAGAGCTAGCCCTGGTAGATAAAGCTTCAAACTACTCCTGGAGCTGACCAATCTGGGACTATAAGTGATTGAAGTCCTAAAAAGATGGTCTGGGAGGAGGAGGGACAACAATCTGTAGAGTAGTATACCCACCAATAGTATTCGCTACTTCGGCAGTGCGACCACGGCCAGAAGGACGATTGTGAGAAAATTTTTGCTTTAGCTCGGGATAAAGCTTAAAGCAACGATCCTTTACATAACCCGACAAATAACCGTTCCCTTTGAAAGTCTAGAATTAACAGCAAGAGCCATCTGATCCACTGGAGTCTCTGGTAAAGCTACTGGCTGAGAGATCTAACGTCTATGCTCCTCATGGTCAACAGTAGCGAAGGCATCATATAAATCAGGCATAGGAGAAGTGTTTATGATCTGAGTTCTAAGAGCATCATACTCAGATCGTAAACCCATAAAAAACTGGTAGGTATGCTGGCGGTCCAATCTCTTAACCAAAAGAGTTGCAGCTTCTTCAGAGAAATCGGAGAAAGGTTTACACTATGCTAATTCTTCCCAAAATACTCTGATACTGACAGCTTGAGTGTCTCCTGAGATGCAT